TCTTTCCCTCCCTTCCCCCAGCTTGCTAGGACTGCCAAGAATTCTTATGATTGATGCTTGCGGTGGCTGAAGAGTTTGCTGACACTTGCTCTAGAAAACAGGGTACACTTGGAATAAACACTGGTTATGAGGTTGAGACCTGGAAGGATGGATCAGAATTAAAAATGAATCAAAAGAATACAAAGGAAATCTTGTAGTTCTGGTTCTCCCATCTTGAGTCGTAGACTCTTAAGTTCAACGAAAATTGTCTTATGTAGATGTTTCTGCTATAGCCTTTTGAGGTTATTTTAAAAGGGAGCTAAGATTTTTTAACTCGAGATTAAGCTTGACAGAAATAAGTAGTGACAGTTAATAGATTACTTACGGATCATGTAATGTATATTTTGAAAACAAGAAATCCATGTAAATGTAAAATACTAACCATTAAAACATAATTTTAGATTTAAAAATAACTTTAAAAATAAAATGTATGCCAAATGATCTTTACAACGTTTAGATTTAGACAGTATGTTTCCAGATATTTGCCATGTCCTTTGAAAACAGTCCAAGATGAGGTCATAGGATCTCCTGATGGTACAAATTCATAGTCCCATATAGTCCCTTTGAAGTAGCATTTACCCAATTAACCCTTGAACATTTTTCCTACCTTGGTTTCTGTGGGATTCATACTGGAAGACTTACTAGTCACACCAGAGGAAGTTGACACCTAGAAAGAAAAGAAATAGAAAGTCTGATTCTGGTTCACCTACAACCTACATTGTCTTTCAGCTCTTCGTAACTACATCGCCTTTGCTTTTAGTCTTCCTTATTGAGGGGACCACGCCTACACAAATCCCGTCGGTTGTGTCATCCCATGGGTAAAAGCCTTTGTAATTGGGCCAAATGGATTCTGGGTCTGTTATTTACTAAATAATCTTGGGCAAGTTACCTAATTTTCTAGACCTTCAGTTTCCCATTCTCAATTTTCTCCAGAGAGATAACAGCCTGGTAAGTTTATTAAAAGAATTACTGCCTGGTACAGTAACTGATCAGTAAATATTATTGTGATTACTGTTTTTTTATTTTTAGAAGGCACATGGACTTTGACACTTGGCAGACTTCTCTTCCAATCCCAGTTCTGCCATTACTTGCTTTGTGACCTTAAGCCTTAATATTCCTGGTTTATAAAATGGGCCAATGATAATCTATTTTGCAGGTTATTTGAGAGAATGTGTGTAAAATGTCTGCATATTGTGGATGCACATTAAATTACGAGTGCATTATTCCTAATATTTATTACATGACTGAAGGAACAAGGACATAACTCCATGTAATAGACCTGAATGGATGTGAATTTCAGTGTCATGTAAGGAAGAGAAGGTAGGAGGCAGGGCTGTCAAAGGAATTTTGCTGTACTGTCTGTCTCATCCAGAGTCCTTGGAGGACAAGAGGGGATGACTAACTGAAATACACCAGAAGCACCCTTCCCAGGGATGCGTGAGGGTGCAGATCAGCCCCTATGATCTAATCTCCTAAGCACATAGATACCTGCATGGTATCGAGTACTATTCTAGTACTTCTGTTACACTGGTTGATATTAAATTGACAATTATCATCTTGGCGAATTCCAACCCATGCTCATTTAAACCTTCTTAACATTTGAGTCCATTAGGTTTTAGATCCCAGGGATTCCATCTGGCATGAGTTGCCTTCTTAAGCAACTGGACTGTGCGTAAACAGCTGCTGTCCTGCCAACAATACCCACAAAGCCTCTAATGTGGACTTTGCTCCGTCTCTCACGATGGCCTTCAGCCACTCCAGAGGCTGAGTCACAGGCAGCCCAGCCCAGCCCTGCTTCTCCCTGACCTTTTCCCACCCCCAACATACCACCACTCAGGGCAACTGCATGAAAACCACCATCACCCAACTGCCTCCCATAGACCACAGGTAATAGAGACCACAAATAATAAGACATTGATGCTTACATCCAAACACTGTAATTTCTAGATAAAAGTCCAAAGCTTTAGTATGCTAATTTTTTAAAAAATCATGTGAATGTAACTGCTCCTGATCACCTTTAGGCACCCATCAGGCTCCTTCAGTACACACACACACACACACACACACACACACACACTTGCACACTCTGAACTCCTCATCATTCCAGTAGGGTACAGAAAGTTCTCTCACATTCTCTTGGAATAAAGAGAAAATTCTCTCACATTCTCTTGGGATAAACTGAACTGGGGGACCAGCAGTTGGCATAATGGCTATGTTGCTGGACTCCCACGTAGTTGATCACGGTTTGAGTATTGGACCCGGAGGCTTGAACTCACGTTGGGTGCGTGCACCTGCATGCCCAAGATCCTAAGAGGAGAATGGAGGACCAAAGATTGTGACATGGCCATCCACCCTGGGGGGTGATTTCTCACTTTCTGTCTCTCTGTCTCTGTCTTTCTGGCGAGCACATACACCCTATAGCAAAGACCCTTCCCCCCCAAAAAACAAGAACTGAACTGGAAGATATACCAAGGTAGATTCTGCCCCCCATTTCCATCAAATTAATGGACAAATACAGGGCTACCTATGCTTTCCTTGGAAATATTTTTAAATTTAGGGATAAAGCACCCATATAGTAATTTAATTTTATCTTTCCACAATTAGTAATGTTTGTATAAATTTCCACTCAAGCTCAGGACATTCACTTTGATACATGCCATTTCATTCTTTCAATGATTCTCCTCAACTGTATAAAACCACCAGAGTAAACCACTCTCAATGAAAATACTTTCTAAGGTTTTTTTTTCATGATGGAGCATATGCGTGTGCACAAGAGAATGACAGTGTGTGAGAGAGAGGTGCACCCTTCCCAAGGCTCAGTCATGTCAGACCTCTTCCTCTACTTCTCCAGCCTTCCAGTCATGTTCTCAGGACAGGGACTTAAACCGAGGCTGGCATGTGGCTTCCAGTGCCACAGTCCAGTATGCTACAGACTGCTATAGAGGTTAGGCCAGGAAGGGCTTTTACGCCTGAGATTGTTCAGTGACTATTATCTTATTTTTCAAACACCCAAATGTATTAAAATATTCATCAGATCATACATCCTTGGATTACCCAACCTACCTTACTACTTCTCTAAAGAACACCTACAAGTGATTCTCATCCTAGAAGGGAGAAGACTTTCATAGGCCCGCCAAGACTAGTCAAATCTCCACATGGGACAGCTATAAATAAGCAGGGAGTGGGGTAGAGCGGGAATTTAGCTGGAGGCCCTGCCTCTCCCGTTTCAGCCTGCACTGTGTCATGCCTTCACTAAGGCACTGTGCCTTTTGAAACTGAAATATAAAGCTGCTTCCTCGGGGCTGGAAATATGGAAAATAAATGAACTCCATTATTAATCCACTCAATTCTGGCTTATTGTAGCTTGTTCAATTTTATTAGACAACTTCTAATATTTGTGCTCTCTGGTGAAGGATTGAACACATTTCCGTTTTTTAAAAAAAAATTTGCTATAGGGCATGTGCTCTTGTGAGGGAGAGAAAAAGAAGGAGACACAGACACACACACACACACACACACACACACACACAGAGAGAAAGTAAGAAATCATGCATGGCCACACCACAATCCTTTCTCTTCCATTTCTCCTCTCAGGATTTTGGGCTCACACACGCATGCACTCAGCATGTTTTTTAAGCCACTGGGTCCAGGACTCAAACTACACAACGGACACGTGGGATCCAGCTGCCTTAGCCACCACACCGTTCGTTGGCCCATGGATACATTTCATTTAAGTCTCTTGTACTGTCTGAATTTCTAATCACGGGTGTGAATAACTTTTATAAATAAAAACTTGTGATCTTTGAAGAGAAGGAACCTTAGTAATAATCTTTTAGTGCACAGGTTTAAGCAGATGAGGAAACTGGATTTTCATGTCCAAGGGTTATCACAGTTCACTGGTTGCACGGTGTAACCTGAGCACAGTGTGTGCCTATGTCAGGTGCTGGGGTTCCAGGGGTGAAATTAACAGACACAGCCCTGCCCTCACATGAGTCAGTAGCCTAGTCAGAGACGATAATAGTAAAATAATCACTCCACTAATCACTTGCTACAAATGAAAAGCTCAAGGTCTCACGAGAACATTGACTAGGGAGCCAGAGCTAGCACGGGGGTCGGAAGGGCAGGTGATGCTGAGCACTGGCACGTTCTGTGGATAATGAAGGGTAAGCAGGCACCACTTGGGCAAAAGGCCAGGGAGGAACCTTCTATGCACGAAGATCGTCTGAGCTGTGTTTGCCAGCACTGGAACCTAGGTCGTCTGATTCCTAAACCAATGTCCCCTCTTCTGCAAGCAGATACTGCTTGAATGAAGGGGTTACCAATTTTATTTATTTATTTTTAAAAACAATGATTTAATTATTATTATTATTTTTACTTTTAATTTGCTATAGGGCATATGCACTTACCCAAAAGAGACAGAAAGAGAGTGAGAGGGAAAGTGAGAAAGCAAGCCACCAGGTCCGGGACTCAAACCATGATTATCCATATGGGAGTCCAGTGCCCTAACCACCACACCACCTGCTGGCCCTAGGTTACCAGTTTTAAAGCATACAAGTATCAGTGCTCATATACACCAAAATATCTCTGCAAAATTAGCACTGTAAATCAGCTATAACAATATACCCCTTCCCAAATGATCCATGCAAAACTCGTAATATCCAGAATATTATTAATCATTTCTAAACTTGAATTAAAGTATAGATCACAGTAACAAGAAGCAGAGCAAAAGCGCCACCCACCCACCCATTCAACAATTGTTATTTAAACAGCAAGGAGTGGGACCAGCAGATGGCATAATGGTTCTGTTGTTGACTCCCACATGGCCAACCATGATTCGAGTCCTGGACCTGGAGGCTTGAAACTCATGCTGGATGCACACGTGTGTGTGCCCCAAATCCCAAGAGGAGCATGGACTGTTTCATGCCTTCACTGAGGCACCGGAGAAGGGATTGCAGTGTGGTCATCGCCCCTGAGGGGTGATTTCTTGCTTCCTGTCTCTCTGTCTCTCTGACAAGTGCACATGCCCTATAGCAAAGATCTCTAAAACAAAACAAAACAAGAAACAAAACCTGCAGTGAGTCAGGGGTTGAGGGTACACAAGAAATAGGACACAGTTGTGACCTCCGGGGAGTTCAGAGACTATTGAGAAAAGCAGGCATTAAGCAGTTATTTTACAGCTTACGGACTCTCACAAGGTATGGAGAGAGACCTACATGACAAAACAAGTGTTTGAGTTGAGTCCGTTTCAGGCCTATTCCACATCATCTTGCTGTACTGTGAAGTTGCATTAAAATAAACCAGTGCTGATAAAACAGATCAGCTGCACCTTACCCAAAAAAATGAATATTTAATTCTACTCTTAATCAAATATGCAAGTCCTATGTACCCTCCCTCCAGAGACTGTGTGACTGGTTCCCGGTCCCGGTATCCTAACTTGTGCATCCCTGCCATCAGTCTCTGGGCTGCTCCCTTCTCTAATCTCAGGTCACTGACCACAGCACCATAGGCAGGAGGGAAGCACATAATTTCACCAGGAATGAACTGTCTCCTCCAAATTGGGACACCCTTCAAAGAACTGCCCGTTGGCTGCACTAACCTACTGACTCTCTTCTCACCCTCTCAGGTCTGTCAGGGCTTTTCCTTGATTCTGCAGGCGGTCTACTGAGG